TGTACAATGCAGAATTGGGCAACCACATAGACAATATATAACATTCAATAACTACTACAACAAATAATATAGTTACAAAACATCAAAGATCCCTACTGGTTTTTTACTATTGAGCTGGTTGGCAAAAATTGCTGGTTTTCCCTTATGACAAAAATAGAGAGCAATCTTTAACTGGTTCACTGGGGAAGAAACAAAGCTCCCTTCTTCCCTTTAAGAAAGTAATCCAGCATCCTTCTTAAAATGTGCAGCCCTTGATCCCCACTCAATAATCAAGACAGCATTCAGAACTGAAAAAGTTGTCCATCCCTGCTATTGAGTGACATTTAAAACTAAGTAAACCTCACCAACTTCAGAAACACCAGTGCACTAGATCTGTTGCTTATAGTTCACTCATATAATTAATGAGTGAGCAGAAAGATGACTGGAGTATATTTTCAATATAAAACAGTTTGACAAGAGATTTCTGATTCCCTCATATTTGAATAATAGAATCAAACAAAAAAGGGATAATTAACCTGTAATTGATTTGTCTAATGTTCACCTAAAAAGTTACACATATAGATTATGTACCTAAAGAAAGTCCTGAGAACAGTCCTGCATTAAGATTTTGACAGGAATGTTGCCCTTTCTGTTATCATGCGTCCTCTAATGTGCAGTTCCTACATTTATATTTGGTTCTGAACAGTGCATTTTTTGTAAAGAAAAAAAAAGGTGCCGGAACTCACATGTCATACAGCCCGCCTTGCCTACCCTACAAGCTTCCATCCAAAAAAGGAACACCCAAAACTCCGTTCTGGGTGTTCTATGACAAAAAAAGCCCTGGTTCTGAAGACTCAAGCAATTGGCGTGGTAGCAAATCACAAGTGATGCAATCTGGAGTAGGGGGAAAGGGATCAGTTGTGTGAATTCAGTCATCATCCTCTTAGGTGTCTAACAAATGACCAGAAGAAAGCATAGCCCTGCCAAATAAATCATAGGAAAATTGGAGATCAAGCCAAAATGCCAAATGAAGATAGAAGACTACAATTAGATAGGATTCTTGCATATTTCCAACAAAGGAACCTCCTTCTAAAATGCACTTCATATTGCAATCACTCTCATGAAATGTTGCCAAACTTAAACAAGAAAAAGGCTTAATCAATGGAGTGATACATTTCACATCTGTTTTAGGGCAGTCAGGAGTTCCTTTTTCACTCCAAAAGCAGATTGGGTGTCTGCGCAGGTAACTTTAGTGAGTTAGCCAAGCTGAGCAAGAACATGCTCGTCCCGCTCTGCCTCTGCTCTCACTGCTTTGATTTTGGAGCGCCAGGAGCAGGCAAAGTAACCGTGCTGCCATCCAAACCCCAAGCAGAGAGGCTGGAGATGAGACAGCTTGCTTGAGAGAACTCTGGTTCTTCAAAAGGTAAGTGAGCAACTGGTAAGGGGGTGGAGAGGAGCTGGTGGGCTAGCATAGCAGGAATAAGCAGGGGAAGTATTGCTGTGTCTCTGCGATTGGTCATTAGGATGAATGACTGCCATGGTGCTGCAATGTTCGTAACTTCAGGACTGTGTTGTAAGTACTTGGGGTTGTTTGAACGGTCACTAAGTGAACTATTGTAACTCGAGAAATACCTTTACAGTTAAAGATCTGAGAAATCAGATAGTGAAGAGGAATAACTCTGCAGTCAAACCAAAGGAATGAATCATATGCATCTGATCCCACTGTGTATCAGAGAAAATGTCAGTGTCAGCTATCTATTATCTACTTTTGCAAAATACTGGCCATTATGGAGAAAGAGCAGGAATGAAGGCAAGGTCTCCACTGATATACGAGAGGAACTGCACACTTCTATGTCTTAAGAAACCATAAAGCATCCATAAAAAGAACTCATGCATCATTATCAGGAAGAAACAGCTTCAAATGCTGAAAGTTTGAGGAACTAACAGGGTGAACCTGAAGTACAGGTAATCCTTGACTTATGACCACAATGGACCCCAATTTTTTTGTTGCTAAGAAAGAGAGTTGTTAAATGTCCCCCATTTTACAACCTTATTTTCCACAGTTAAGTGAATCACTGCAGTTATTAAGGGAATCATGTAGTTGTTAAGTGAATCTGGCTTCCCCCATTGCTTGTTGTTAAGGTAGCTGGGATGGTTACAAATGGTGATCACATTTCCCTGGGACAGTGCAACTGTCATAATAATACGGAGATTGAGAACGGGGGGAGCGTACGACAGGAAAGTGGATATGAAAGAGGGAATACCCCCGCACCAGGGGAACAGCAGGAGAGGATTAGCGAAAAGGAAAAGAAGGAGAGTGGGTACGAAGAAAGAGACACCACTGACGGGGAGGCGACGAGAACGAACGCGGGAGCGCCGCCTGTGCCCCCTACGACCCGCCACCGAGGAGGGGCGGAGAGAGGGTTGATGGCTACACATACATTTATGGAAGAAGGGTTGAGTGGGGGTGTAGAGGGGAGGAAGAAGGAAGAGAGGAGAGGGTCAGAGGATGAGAATGAGGGAGTGATGAGAGTGGTGGAGACACGAGTGAGAAAGGAGTCAGATAACGTTATGGGAAAGAAGGAAGAGAGGAAGAAGGTGGGACCGCAGGCAACTGGAAAGAAAAAAGGAGGTAATAAACAACAAAGTGATGCCCTGGATGAAGGGATGCCTCCCCCCCCTCCCGACGAACGAACAAGGCAGGGAAAGAAAAGGGGTGGGAAAGAGAGAGTTAGGAGCGTGGCAGTACGCGGAAGGACAATTAAGAACTTAACGCAGGAGGACTACCTGGGCCCGGTCACGAGATCTAGGAGCTGGGTGCAAAAGGCACCGCTCCTATAAAAACAGCCATCCCACTGACGGCTAGCCACCCTGATGAAGCTGGCAGAAGGCCGGCGAAAGCTAGGTGTTTTAATGTTTTAATGATAATAAACTTTTGTAGTTTTTAACCTCCTGGTGGTCTCACAGTTTGTGACCCTTTGAATATGAATTTACCCAGGAGTCAACCTCCAATTTTTAGAATTTTAAAGAATATATATATATATATGTGTGTGTGTGTGTGTGTGTGTGAAGAAAGAATGAAAATCCCATGCCCTGAAGTATGTCTTATAAAAATATAAAAGATAATCAAACAACGAATCAGCGAACACCTAGAGGCAAACAAAGTCATTACTAAAAGCCAACATGGGTTTGTCAAAAACAGATCATGCCAGACAAATCTTATTGCATTCTTTGAACAAGTGACAAAATTAGTGGATCAGAGGAATGCTGTGGATATAATTTACTTGGACTTCAGTAAGGCATTTGATAAAGTAGATCACAACCTACTACTTGATAAGATAGAAAAATGTGGGTTAGACAGCATCACCACCAGATGGATTCGTAGCTGGCTGACCGGCCATACTCAGAGTGTGGTCCTCAATGGAACCAGATCTACATGGAGGGAAGTGTATAGTGGGGTGCCCCAGGGCTCTGTTCTGGGCCCAGTGCTCTTCAACATCTTCATCAACGATTTGGACGAGGGGATAGATGGGGAACGACACCAAGCTGGCAGGAATAGCCAACACTCCAGAAGACAGGCTTAAGATACAGGAGGATCTGGACAGACTTGAACATTGGGCGCTATCTAACAAAATGAAATTCAATGGTGGAAAAAGTAAGGTTCTACATTTAGGCAAGAAAAACCAAATGTACAGGTATAGTATAGGGGGTACCTTGCTCAATAGTAGTAACTGTGAGAGGGATCTCGGAGTCCTAGTGGACAATCACTTAAATATGAGCCAGCAGTGTGCTGCAGCTGCTAAAAAAGCCAACACAGTTCTAGGCTGCATTAACAGAGGGATAGAATCAAGATCACGTGAAGTATTAATACCACTTTACAATGCCTTGGTAAGACCACACTTATTTTATTTATTTATTTATTTATTTATTTTATTCAATTTTTATCCCGCCCTTCTCCTTACCGGACTCAGGGCGGCTGACAGCCTTATAAAACAGATACTACAATAAATACCTAATTTAAAACCAAATTAAAAAGACATATTTACTATGGCCTATATAATTAAAATTTCTCTTAAAACCCCACTAAAAATTCCCTAGGCCAATC